CAGCCGCAGGCTGAGAGGAGGAGGCGGAGCTGGCGCTGCAGCGGGAGGGCGGGTCGGAGGAAGCCGGAAGCCGGACTCCAGGGGCCGCCCGGTCGACCCGGCTCTGGCTCCCCTCTCCCCGCCTGCAGCCCGCGGCCTGCTCCCCGCCTGGGCGCTGCGGTTCCTCCCCGCCTGCAGCCCCAGCCCCAGCCCCGCCGCGCCCGGCGTTCCCTGCTCCCGGGGGCTGCGAGGTGCGGAGGGCAGTGCGGGCGGCTGGGCCTCCCACCCGCCGGGGCCATGCGCACCGCCCTGGTGTACCACGAGGACATGACGGCGCCCCGGCTGCTGTGGGAGGAGTGAGTGTCACCTGGGCGAGGCGGGGAGCTGCGGGGAGGAGGCTGGAGTCTGAGCTCTCTGTCCACAGCCCCGAGTGTGAGATCGAGCGCCCGGAGCGCCTGACCGCCGCCATGGGGCTCCTGCAGCAGCGCGGCCTGGAGCAGCGGTGCCTGCGGTTGGCGGCCCGAGAGGCCTCGGAGGCAGAGCTGGGCCTGGTGCACAGGTGGGACCCCCGTAGCCACACCTGAGCCCACCCAGCGGGCCAGGCCCTCACACACAGCGCCTCGGCTTCTCCATCGGGCGGGTAGGCAGCCCCACGGTGCAGCCCCTCTGTCTCCCTCCCACCCCATTCCTCTGGCGACTCTGCCTTGCCTCCCTGCCCCTCTGCAGCCCAGAATACGTGGCCCTGATGCGGGGGACTCAGGCCCTGGGCACGGAGGAGCTCCGGGCACTGTCTGGACAGTACGATGCCGTCTACTTGCATCCGGTTCGTGCCCCGGGGACCCACCCACCCATGCCCGCGCCCATGCCTGTTCGCGGCTGCCAACCTGGCCGAGGTCCCTGTGTTCATGGACGTGCCCGTGCCTTGCATACCTGCTGCGGCTGGCACCTGGGACTGTCCTGGCCCCTTCCGTTGAGCACTCGGTGCCCTGCAGCCTGGCGCAGACGTGGGCAGAGTCTGTGTGGGGTAGCCGGCGGGGGCTCACCTGCACCTCTGCCCCCACAGAGCACCTTCCACAGCGCACGGCTGGCCGCCGGGGCCGGGCTGCAGCTGGTGGATGCCGTGCTGACAGGAGCTGTGCACAATGGGCTCGCCCTGGTGAGGTGAGAGCCGTCCCTCTCCCCTGGCTGCCCCCCCCGTATGGGCAGAGGACGACCCCGACAGGCCCCACGCCCCACTCTCACCCTCAGGCCTCCTGGGCACCACAGCCAGCGGGCTGCCGCCAACGGATTCTGCGTGTTCAATAACGTGGCCATCGCGGCCAGACATGCCCAGCAGAAGCACGGGCTGCACAGGTGTGTGCTGGGCCGGCCGCAGGTGGGGCGCCCCCCCCCCCAGCCCCTTCCCATCTTGGGCTGGGCTCCTGGCCTGGAGTGGAGGCCCTGCCCCGCGGTGAGTCCAGTGCTGTGTGTCCCCAGGATCCTCATTGTTGACTGGGACATCCACCACGGCCAGGGCACCCAGTACACCTTTGAGGACGACCCTAGGTGAGCTGGGGTGGGGGTGCCACCCTTCCCTGGGCCCCCACGCTTCGGGGCACACGGCCTGGCCTGGGGGAGTCCTAGCCAGATGACAGCTGTGTGCTCCAGCGTCAGAGTTGTGTGAGGGGCTGTGGGGCTGAGGGTCACCTCTGAACTTTGACCCTGGCCGGTTATTCCCAGCGTCCTCTACTTCTCCTGGCACCGTTATGAGCACGGGCGCTTCTGGCCTTACCTGCAGGAGTCGGACGCAGTAGCTGTCGGGCAGGGGCGGGGCCGCGGCTTCACTGTCAATCTGCCCTGGAATCAGGTGCCACCCTGCACCCTCCGGGAGCCCAACCCACCCCAGCCCACCCCACCCCCTGCCCAGATCCCCAGCCCTATAGCTCCGGGCCTCCTGAGTGTAGTTCAGGGTGTCCTCCCAGGGTCACCCCCAGAGCCAGGCATGAGGGGTGAAGACCCCACAGCTCGCCCTTGCTGGGCCCAACTCTGACACCCGTGGCTGCAGGTGGGGATGGGAAATGCTGACTACCTGGCCGCCTTCCTGCACGTGCTGCTCCCCCTGGCTTTTGAGGTGACTATGGGGGGTCCCCCCGACTCCATCAGAGAAGAACAGGTCCTGTGGGGGGGAGGGTCTCTCTGATGGGCCTCCCTTCACTCCCTCCCCACCCGGCTCTGCCTGCAGTTTGATCCTGAGCTGGTGCTGGTCTCGGCAGGATTTGACTCAGCGATCGGGGACCCCGAGGTGAGGGCCTGGCCTGACCTGGAGGGCTTCTGGTGCCCGGTGGCCAGGCCCCCATCATACCTGGCTCTGGTTCCAGGGGCAGATGCAGGCCACGCCGGAGTGCTTTGCCCACCTCACGCAGCTGCTGCGGGTGCTGGCCGGCGGCCGGGTCTGCGCCATGCTGGAGGTGACTGTGCGGAGCAGGGCGGGTCCAGG